GGCTGTGGAGCAGTGGAACTGCGTTTCTAGGTGATGGAGCTCCATCCATTAGCTTTGGTATGAGTTGGGGTGGCATTTGTGATCCAGAACAAATCATTCAACATCAGTAGCTGACCTCACTAATGCTCCTGCAGCTTCAAACAAATCCTCACAGCAATGTTCTAACATCTAGAAGAGTAGAAGCTGTTACTAGAGCGAAGGGGGACTTTTGAAAAAAATGTTAGATGAGCAGGTGTCCACAAACTTCTGGACAGTATAATTAGAGCGTATAATGTATCTGCTATTTTATTTGAGACAAAAGAAGCCAAAAAGAGAAAAATAGCATCAAACAAGCATTCATTTCCATGTTGATAGATGCTGAATGTACTAAGAATTCCCACTGCAGTTCTCACATTATCTTGAGATCTTCACATAGTCACACTTACATGTTGTCTTGATAGGCTTTCAACAGTCACTGGTTTCCATAGATGTATTTCTCATTTGTTACTCTGGCCTTTAATAGTAGTCATTTGTTATCATTGGACAACCTAAATACTTCTATCCAATAACATACTCAATTTTGTTTCTTAATAATATAATAATAATCATATAAATTCTTAATATAGCCCTTCCTAAATCGGGGCCTTGGTGTAGTAAAAGGGCTTATGTGAACCACATTCAGTCTGTGCTTGGGGGCCTGCCCTGGGATAGTATATGTGACACACTGTCTTTTGGTTGAGCAGAAGTACAGTAGATGAGTAGATGATCATGTCACTTTTGCACTTCACTATGGGAAAAAAATCATAATTTAATGAAATTTGTATGACTACCATATATTGGATCAAAAAGCTGTATAAAAGCACGTAATTTCTGATCAGACCGAACATTTCAGAGTTGGAGCGATGTCGATATCTCGAAAACTGCAGGACAAGTTAACGGACAAAACAGAACAATAAAAAAAGAAGAATATCTAGAATAGTGCATTTCCTGAAGAAAATGCAGAATGATTGCGCAACTTAAATGATTTGAGAACGGTTGCTAAGGTGTTGCCAGACAGCTGCTATGGTATTTTATATGGTTGCTAGGGAGTTGATAGGTAGTTGCTATAGTATCCCAGGTGGTTGCTAAGGTGTTGCTAGGTGTTTGTTATGGTATCACAGGTGGTTGTTAAGGTGTTGCTAGGCATTTGGTAGAGTATCCCAGGCGGTTGCTATTGTGTTGCCAGGTGGTTGCTGGGGTGTTGCTGGGGAATCCCAATTGGTTGCTATATATACTTCTACCCCACTTTTCAGTTTATGAAAGTACACTTTGAAGTATACTGCAAGTAAACATTCCACATACATATCACTGCTATCTGAGGAATACCTTGTATTTCCATTTTTGTCATTTTTCGGTTTTTGGCATAATTTGAAACTGCCTGTTGTCCTTTACATTGTGTGTAAATTTCATAATGAACGGACCAAAAGAAATGGACCAGAATGACTTGGAAAAAACTCTGATTCCATTGACTTACATTAAAAGTGAAATAGGTTTTTTCCTTTTCCTGTAAAATTATAATTTTGGAGATACGAGGTTTTATTCTGACAGCAGCGATATGTGTGTTTTTTAGTTTATACAAGTATACTTAAAGTGTTCTTTAGGTTAAGAGTAGTAACATTTGAATACACGACTAGTTTGCATTTTTAAGTTCTATTTTGTACTGCAACTATACTGTGAACTGTACTCAAGTGATCTTATAGGTACACTGTTAATTTAATAGTTGTATACTGTTTCAGTTGGGGGTGTGGACTGAGCCGCTCTGGCCCAGAGACTCATGCAGGTGCAACAAGAAGCTCTTTATCTAAACATTAGAGAACAAAAACATGAACCAAACTGAACTTCTCACTTCTTTCAAGGTCTTTTTTCTCTGTCTCTCCTTCATTTAATACTGTCTGAGTTTTCTCCTATAATGCTTTATGAGACTTTAGAACACATGACAAAGGATCTGAAGCTGTTCCTCCATACAGCATCTCTCTAGATCCTTCAGATTCTGATGTTTGCACTCTGGACTCTCCTCTTCAGCGTATCACACATATTTTCCTTGTGTTTTAGGTCAGGGGACTGGGATGACCTTGATTACATGGTCAATTCAGAAAACATACAAACTTCACTGGTTGTTTTACTGACATATAAAGTACAACTGTACATTAGATGCCATGACCCTTGGTTCCTACCTTTAACCCCTTAAATTTCTCAAGAATGGATGATTTTTATATAAAAAAAAAAAACTTCTGCATGACTTTATTTTCTTCTCAAGTTGCTGATATTTTGAACTGGATTAATACCTGTGTAAAGGGCTCTCTGGCCAAGTAGAAAAATGGAATTATCGCTACATAAACATGCCTACATGCTTCCTACAGTGAAGCCACAATTTTACAGATTTTACAAAGTACAGAATACAACTGCTCCTTTAAGTAGACTACATTAGTTTTACTGTGAAAACAAAGCAAGTTTTATGCTTTGGGATACCATGGCAACCACCTAGCAATACTCTAGCAACCACTTAGTGTACCATAGCAACGACTTAGCAACCACCTGAGGTACCATAGCAACCACCTAGCACCACTTAAGCAACCACTTGGGATACCATAGCATCAACCCAGCAACACTCTAGCAGCCATCCGGTATACAATATCAACTGCCTAGCAACACCTTAGCAACCAACCACTTAGCAACACCATAGCCACTAATTGGGATACCCTAACAATCACCTAGCAACACCTTAGCAATCACTTAAAATACCATAGCAACCACCTACCAATGCCTTAGTAGCCATTGAGGATGCCATACAAACCACCTAGCAACACTCTAGCAAGCACCTGGGATACCATATCAACCATCTAGCAACGATCTGGGATACCACAGCAACTGCCTAGCAACATCTTAGCAACCTCTTAAGATACCATATCAACCACCTAGCAATGCAATAGCCACCATTTGGGATACAATAGAAACCACCTAGCAACACCTTAGCAACCACCTGTGATACCACAGCAACCATTTAGTAACACCTTAGCATTCGCTTGGGATAATATAGCAACTGCCTAGCAACATCTTAGCAAGCTTAAGCTGCGTGATCACTCTGCATTTTCTTCAGGAAATGAACTTTAATTGTTTTGTACTGGTCACTGTGCTCTCCCAGATGTCCAGAGTCTCAGCCTTAAGGTTCTGATCTGCTTGACTTTTTTGGACACAGCGTATCCCCCAAATCCAAAGCATTAGGCCCATCATGCCCCACACGGCTGCATTTAACAGACCTGACACTTAGAGGTATTGACCACCTGATATCTGCACATTAAGCTGGCCTCAAAAAAAGATCATGATCCTCTCTGCCCTATCATGATTGCAATTGCATTCCCATTGGCTAACAGCATGTCTTTAAGTTTCTGAGAAACTTAAGGACTCAACTTGTGTATCTTTGGAGACCTTTGATCATTCAAAATCCTTCACGTCCAGTTCAAAATAAAGTGCAAGACAGCAGATACCACTGCATGCAGCGACAAGAAGCCTTTTATACTGATGTTAGAAAGGTCCTTCTTACCTTGGTGGCAGCCTTGACTTTGAGAGACGTCTCGTTGGTCCACACTTTCTAATGGGAAAGCAGTTACCTACCCATGTCTTTTGGAGGAAGGTATTGTTACTGAATTGAAAAACATGTGAGGCCATTCTATTTCCTGTGGGTGTGTTTTGTAGCCCTGTTTCTAAATCACCCACCTCTACGTCACACAAAGATAAGAGTCTATGATTAGTTGTTCTGTCAGTCAAACAGCCCTTTCCTATTAAAGTAGGCAGTTTTTTTCATGTTAAGCAACCAAACTCTTCAGACTCTCTGACAGTAAGCAGAAGCCTGGCTTGTAAGACTAAAGCCCTGTATCAAATGGTGCCATTGCAGTCCTGCAGTTCTCATTTGTTTGTGCCCACAAGGTGATAAGGTGTCCCATTTCTTATTTTGTTGTTCAAACCTATGAGAGACCTCTATGTGATCTTATCATGGCCTTCAGAGAGGAACACATCGATGTGCACTCAGCAACGACCAAAATTCTTTGAGATAGATGTGAGGACCAATGGACTGATTCGTTGAAACAGGCAATAATAACATTATTGCACTTTTATAGAGGGATGTTAATGGCATCGTCTGTGATGATGTATGTATGCCTCTTGTGTGTTTTCTTGAGAAGAAAACAATCATAAATTCTCTATTTCTAAAGTACTCAGAGTGGCCATTTGATCAGTTGTGAGTTAGCAGTATAATCTAAAGTCCTATTCAAGCTGGATTAGTTTTACCAGACGAGGTCTGGTAATGTAATTTGTAAAGGGTTTCACTGGCAGATTTGTACAGCACAAAGTATCTGTGTAATTTCCCCAAATTACCTCTGATAGCCTGGATCATAATTGCTTTGTATATGTACAAATGCATATTTCTTAAAAATATAATCTTTCTAATTTGTAATTTAACCAGCTGTTTTAATACCCCTTTCTTATGCTCTCTTGTCTTCCTTATTCAATCTCATTGCATTTATCGGTTATAACAACGTACAAAAGCATTTTAAAACAGCATCTGTAAATATAAAAATAAAAATAACGTAAAAAAAAATAATAATAATTATTATTATAAATCTGGTCCTGGAAGCTGTTAGTGGCAGTTAGTGTATAAAGTGAAATGGTCAGGGGAATAATGATTGGTGGATTGGCACAGACATTTTTAAGTGTAACCAGAATTCTTGTCTTAATAACTTAACAGTCATTTGTTACCTAACAGCTGTTGTAAAGAAAAAAAGTTCCTCAAATTATTTTTTAGTGCTCTTCCAACAGCAATGCTGTTAACACTCAAAGGCAAACGCTCCTCTAGATACGGATAACAACTGGCTTTGGAAGCTGGAATAAGTGTCAGTTACTATATAAAGATTAAGGTGCAAATAAACTCACATTATAAAAATATAACAGTAGTACTTTTGCACAGAAATGCAAAGGACTAGCATCATTGGAAATACCAACATCCTTCACACAGTAGAATGGGCAGCACTGACTGGCAAGCACACCATGTGACACCACTTAATCTTCTCACGCTGGACTCCTTATGCTACATTTTCGTACACCTGCACTATGATTGAATCATAAGCAGTGCTGAGTAGTGTTTGATAAAGTGTGACTTCATTATACAGTTGATTTCAGTGAATATTCCGTGCTTGTCTAAGTACTTCAGATACAGCAGGAATCAGCTTATCTGAATAGTCCCACAGACGTGTATCCCTTATAACGGAGTTTTGTGAAAAGTACTGGCTTGGATAATTTTTAATGTGGTACATGCGGGCGATTTTGGAGTCCACCCTGACAGTAGCACTCATGGAATCCAAAAGGCCATGCACTGTAGCTTTAAACACTAACCGAGGATTTGCGATGACTTTGAAATTGTTGAACACCTTTGGGTCAACGGGTATCCTGTATACATGCGGTAAGATGTTTTCTCCCTCAACCTGCTTCCATAAAGCTGGTGTATTCTCAGGTCTCTGATTACTGGAAAGGGAAAAGGGAAATATGTTATTCTCAAACTCAAATCCTGCATGATGTTGGTACATCATCTCCAGCTGAGGAATGAGTGCCGTCCAGTTATCTTGTTTCAAAGGAAGAATTAATTCATCCAAATCTTGTAGAGCTACATAGTGACTCTCATACATGTAGCGATACACACAGTCATTGAGAGCCACAATTTGCCCAAAGAATTCCAGATCCCCTGGTGAAATGGACTTCTTCCATCCTCTGGCCACCTTGATGTAGCGTGACATATTCCATGGGATGATGTCCACAAAGCCCTGCCTTACATAGTAGTCCAGAACCTTCTGCGTTTCTGGGTAACAACTGGTCTTGTAAATGGCTACCTTCTGAACACCAAGCAGCTTGAACATCTCCATGGTCTGCACAAGCCCCAACACATTCGTGTAATCATACATTACAGATATACATACTGTAAAATCATAAGGGAAGTTTTCTGTCCTGGGCTGTTGATTCCCAACAGGTTGAAAGGATTGTATATTCCATAGAGATCCACCCCCTTCGTGCGTTCGGGAAGTAATAGCCACGTACGTTGGTGTTGTGCATGTTATGGGGACCTGACAAATAATATCCGCTGTGCCATAGTCATAGTCAAAGTGGTCAGAGTGAATGTCGAGGCTGGCAGCTGCAGAAATGTTCCTTCCGTCGCAACATAATAAGCAGTAGTATTGCACTTGCTCACTACGAAACACTATAGAGACTGTTCGTATCATTTTACTGTCTAAACGGTGCTCCACATAGGAACCGATCACATACGCTTTGTGGTGAGCAACTTTAATCATGGGTCCACTCTGCACCGGCACGCCACATGCCAAGTGTGGTTTAGCACTTGTTGTAGCACTTTGTGTAGCACTTGGTGTAGAACTTGGTGTAGAACTTGGTGTAGAACTTGGTGTAGGATGTGTAGTTCCAAGAGAAAAACCAGGCTGCTTTTCAGTAGCTGGTTGTTGTGTTCCTTTCCTACCGGGATAAACTATATGAGGCTTAATAATAATCAGACTTTTTTCTAAGTAGAAAATGATGAAGATGATTAACAGGATGAGAAGCACCAGGAGAGTCTTTAGAAAGAAGTTTGGCTTACTTCGCAGAAAGCTGCGCTGCCCTGTGAAGACAAAAAAAAAGACGATCAGGCTTTGGCAGTTAAAAATCTGTGATTAATTAGTTAAATACAGAGTATTGCTGACAGCTGTTTTACATATTCAGACAAAATGCAAAAAATTAAATGTTGATCAGCCAAGAGTTGTTTGGTGTCCAAATTTGGCTTCTTTACTAGTAAAGATACACTGCAGAAAGTGCATAACCAGTGTTATATTCAAGAAACTCTGCAGGAAGGTAGCTCTCCAGATGCAGGGTTTGGGACTACTGGCGTAACCTTTAGCTAGCTAGCTAACTGCTGGACTGTGCTCCTGAAACAGAGGTCAAGCAAGCTCACTTTATGTGCCAGCACGGTCATATTTGCAGACATGGTGAAGAGATTTCTTTTGTGCCTTACTTTGTGTCACGCCTGCAAAGTAGGTTAGATTTGTGAGGAATCATGGTGAGCCTTGATTTTAAGAGGAGGTAGCTAATGTATTAGCTTTTTCTACATTTAATCACATTAAGTCACACTCTCACAAATTAAAGTTAATTAACAATCAATGTTGGTTATTACCTAATTCATGCAAGCTTTCACCAACACAGTATCTTTGTGTGATTTATGCAGTTCTACTCCCATTTTACGTGCAATAATACAGTATAATTCAGCTTTTTGGGAAATATATAGATCATTAATGCATATAACTTTAACAGCTGATCAAGTATTGTGATAATAACACACTCAAATGAACTTTTCTCATTTTGAAATTTTTTGTCTGAAATTCCTTCCTGAGCATTTAAGATGGTTTATTGAACAATTAAATGTCGATCAGCCAAGATTCATGAAAATGAGTAGTAAGGACCTTTAAGGTTGCTCAGATTGTTGATGTTGTTTTGGACATAGAATGACACTGAGATTATATGTATATAAATGAAACAACAAAAATTATGAACGTAATCTAGTATACAGTTGAAGATGAGCCAAATTCTGCTGGGGAGTCGGAATTTGTTTGAAACCTCAACCTTTGTTTAAAACAATCAAAAAAAATAAATTCAACAATAGTTTTTAAAGTCACTATTATAAATGCATGCCACTCCTCCTCCTCACCTGCCCTGTGTTACTGTATGCATAAATCTGTAAATTGTGCAATAAAGAAAAAACATCCAGTGGACTGTGGATGGAAACAACTTGTAGAGAGGTCAATGGAGACTGACCAGAGAGAAAGCTGACAGAAAGGCTATGGTAACTCAGATAACCACTCTGTATATTTGTGGTAAGCAGAAAAGTCTCTGAAAAAAATCGCAGAATGCGCAAAACACTGAACCTTGAGGTGGATAAACTACAACAGCAAGAAGAACATGCAGGACCACCACAACTGGACAACTGGAATTTTAGCCTGGTCTGATGAATCTCGATTTTTGCTGAGGCACACAGTCAGAATTGGATGCCAACAGCATGAATCCATGGGCTCAACCTGCCTAGTGTCAACAGTCCAGGCTGGTGGAGGTGGTGTAATGGTGTGGAGAATGTTTTTCACACTTTGGGCCTGTTAATATCAATCAATCATCACTTGAATGGCACAGACTATTTGAGTATTGTTGCTCACCATCTGCATCCTTTCATGGCCACAATTTGCAAATCCATGCATGATAGAGCATGATAGAGCACCATGTCACAAAGCACAAGTCATCTTAAACTGGTTTAATGAGCATGGCAGTGAGTTCAGTGCTCTTCAGTGGTCTTCCCAGTCACCGGATCTGAATCTAACAGAAACACCTTTGGGATGTGGTAGAACAGGAGATCTGCAAGATAAAAGTGCACCGCATAAATCTGCAGGAATTGCATGATACAATCACGTAAACTTGGACCAGAATCTTGAAGGGATGTTTCCACCATCACGTGGAATCCAGGACCAAACAATTGAGGCTGTTTTGAGAGCAAAAGGAGGCCCTATCCAGGATATAGTATAGCGTTCCTAATAAAGTGCTCAGTGCAAATGCATTGCTTTCCATGACATCTCAAAAACAGTGAAGTATCACATCACTATATCACAAATGACAAAATGCAACATCAAAATAGTATTCATCAATTTATAGGCCACCTCAAAGACAGACTTTCCACAAGGGGACTCATCTCTTCTGCCACAATTCAAAGCAGTAGTCATGATCTCTATAACGCAAAAAATATATTCATTCAAATGACAAGTGAACCCACAGGCGTCTTCTCAGTGTCCACACATTATGTTAGTAATGGTAAAATAGTGAAGAATCTGAAAACACACATACAAAAGTTTTCTTTAGGGACTATTTTGCAATCCTCTCCATTTAGCCTACTTCAACGAATGGCCAAAACTATCATGAAACGAGGTCATAAAAAAGGCATTAAACTCTTCAAACATCTGGTTTCTATCATCACCACTGTGAGCAATTCTGAATTGGCCATTTTCTCTACAACAAAGCATTTTACATAAAAAAAAAAAACACTCAGAATGAGTTTGTCTGTATCTTAACCATTTAATCGGAACTAAATGGAATTCCCCTTTAGAGCTATACACAAAGGACTCTCTCTCTCTCTCCCTCTCACTCTCTTCTACTTTGGCAATATTTAACCAGTGTCACTACTTTCACTCAAGCACTGCATAACTGCTGAAAAAAACACATAAGAAAAAGAAATATATGTAAAATGTATTCTCAAATGATACACCTTGTAATGTATCTGTATCATCATCAAAATGACTGGATAACATTACATGATTCAGTCAGTCAACTTTTACTGCTGTGCGCTTTCATTAAAGATGCATGTAAACTTGGAGTTCAGCTGCCACGAAAACTTTACAAACTGTAAACTTCATCTTCACAGTCCAATTCTACTTCTTTTGTTGCTGCTTTGGATCAAAATCGGGTGAATAAACTACATAAATACGATCTGGCCTAAAAGCACCATCTCACTTTTACACATGTAGCCCATCACACTCCAGATTACACACACATTTCTATTGCGTCTAAAAAAAATACACCTTTTTAGAAGCCTATTTACCTTCTTATTACACACCGAAACAAGTGTCCTTTAGGCTACAGTTAGACAGTGGAGGAGAAGAACAGTGGAGGAGGAATAGAAAGCCAAGGCAGGCCGTTTAGTACCTGAAACTGATATACTGAGCTAAACGCTCTACTCCATCCAGCGCTGCTGTAGCTGTAAGGTTCGGCTTCTTTTAGCCCTCCTGTTATCTTTTAACCTAAATAAATGATTGACGTCATTTCATTTTATTGCAAAGAAATAAAGTAACTAACACAGAAACTTAGCTAACAAATGTAGCTCTAATTGTCTGGAGGTTTAAACAGCTGGGGTCAAATAAGCACACGGACAAGGAAACAGACGCTGGTACACTGGAAGACACCAGCGGGTTAGAGCAACTGTGCGTACATAGTAAAAAAGCGTTAAAATCTGGCGATTAAACTACATTAATATACACAAAGACCGGGACTAAAAGCACCATCTCACTTTTACATGCGTTGCCGGTCGCACTACAGACCGCACACGCTTTTCTGTCGCGTCATTGCTCTGAACAACACAGCTTTCCAGAAGCCTGCTCACCGAATAAGGCAACCGTGCCCTTCAGGCTACAATTAGACTGTAAAGGAGAGGAACAGAAAGGCGAGTCAGGCCGTTTGGTACCTGAAACTGACATACTGAGCTAAACTCCTCCATCCAGCGCTGCTGCAGCCGTAACGATCCCATACAAACCGAAAGTAACTGACTCCTCAGTCCAGTTCTCTGGGCGGGTCCAGAGGAGCTGCCCCGTTATTTTTCCATGAGCACATACTGTCTTACTCTCTCTCTCTTATACTGGCTGACGCTGTCCGTAATTTTTAAAGAAGCCGGAGACTGAAATGACTCTTTTCGAGCTTCCCAGTTTAAAGACGCACTTTGTTAAAGGGGAATCCCCCATGGAAGCATTTCCACCAATTAAAAACAAAAAATCTATGTAATTATCAAAATTTAATCACTTTAATTAATAATTAATTAAATGGCATCAATTTGCCATACTAAGTCATTATGTTTAGATCTTTGGAGATACTGTAATTATATACTGTAATTATAAATCTATACTATACTATATATATATATATATATATATATATATATATATATATATATATATATATATATATATATATATATTCACCTCAAGGGCATAAAGCATCTCTGAATAATGAGGAAGTTCCTCAAAGAAAAAAAACATCGCAAATTAATTCAGTAGTATTGCAAAATAAAGGCATAGCAATTCATTTCATAATGAGAAAGTAATAAGGTGGATTTTGTTTTATTTTAAATGTTGGGAATGGGCATCCACAGACACTGCATGTTTTAATATTTCCATAAACAAAGCCATTCATATTTCTTGATGTGAACTGAGTCCTCTAAAAATTGATGTGATGTGTGTCTAGAAAAAGGTATTGTGGCGTCTGCCACAGGATCCACAGTTCGGGGGAAGGGGCTTAAGGGGTGTGGCTTGCAAATAAGTGCTTGCACACGCCACCCCCTCCCACTAAATATTTGTTTGTTGTTAGTTGAAATGTCTTTGTGTGTTGCTTGTGTTCATCGTCATCACCAACTGCTCAACGGTCGCTGTGGATAGGGCTGCCCACCGCTCCAGGTTGTGCTCACTGTGAATGTGTTATTTATCAAAAAACAAGGAAAATACAGTTTTGCATGGTATGGGTCCTTTAAAACTTATAACATTGTCACAGTTATACAAATGGAGAAACTATGACGTTTAATCACATTCTCTCACATATTTACCACCTTAACTTAGCACAGTGCTGCAAACATCAATTCCAGTGGTCAGAAAACACAAGATGCAGAGCTGGCCTTCCTCCCACATGTGGTTGTAACTGCGAGTTCAGTTTACTGTTTACATAAACAGAAAAACAATACCACATTCCACCATGACACTTTGTGTGGAGGGGTTGTTATATTTTCACAGCACAGTAAAAAATGAAACTTCAAAACCAGCTTGTTTAGAGAAGCTCTTAATGCATTATAGCCTTTTCATGTGAGGAACTACCGAGAAACAAATGAGAAAAAAAATCAAAAATAGAGTAGAATGAGGAATAACAAAAATATAAATATACAACGATCAAGAAACCGTGGGTTTCCTCCGGGTACTCCGGTTTCCTCCCACGGTCCAAAGACATGCAGTCAGGCTGATTGGACATGATAAAATTGCCCCTAGGTGTGAATGTGTGTGTGAATGTATATGTCTGTCTGTCTGCCCTGTGATGGACTGGCGACCTGTCCAGGGTGTATCCTGCCTTCCGCCCAGTGACAGCTGGGATAGGCTCCAGCACCCCACCGCGACCCAGAAGGATAAGCGGTTTAGATGATGTATGTATGTATGTATGTATGATCAAGAAACCGCTGAACTATATGACTGAGAGAGTGTTTATTGTTGCTAGAGACTTTAATACCGCAGCTCTCAGTGCTCCTTAAATCCATCAGCATGTGGACTTTGCAGTGAGAGCGGTGAATGTGCTGGACCTTGTTTACACAAACATTTCAGCCACGCCCCCACCTTGGCTACTCAGACCACATTCTTGTAATGCTGATCGCCACATACAGACCAGTCATTGGACGTTCCAAACCAGTCCAGAAGCAGGTGAAAACCTGGCCAGCAGGAGCCATTTCTGCTTTTTTGAGCAAACAGCATGGGGCTGCATGGGGCGTGTTTAAGGAGGCTGCCACCAACAGTGGCTCTGTTAACTTGGAGGAAATACAGCATCAGTGATCAGTTATATCTGCAAGTGCTTTGATGATGTTACTGTCTCCAAGACCGTCACCACACACAGAAATCAGAGGCTGTGGATGATTACTGAGGTGCGCATGCTGCTGAAGGCCTGTGACTCAGTGACAAAGCAGCCCTAAGAACAGAGGTGGCCAAACTGTCACTAGTTATCAGAGAGGCGAAGCGTGCAAATGTTTAGAGAAGTCACAGACACTTCCAAAATACCAGCAACACACGGTGCATGTGGCAGGACAATCAGGCTCTCAGCAACTACAGGAAAACATCACCTTCCTGTGACAGTGATGCCTCCCTTCCAGATGCACTGACTGCCTTCTACGCACAGCTCGAAGCACAGAACAACGTGACAGTGAGTAAGACCACCTGTCCACCCAGCGATCAGATACTGTGTCACATACCGTGGCTGGTGTGAGAAAAACTCTGCGCAGAGTGAACCCACAGAAGGCTGCTGGACCAGATGACGTTCGTGGCCAAGTGCTCTTTTATTTCTTCAACCATATTGACTGCTAGAATATTGTATCAACCAAATATTGTATTGCGTTGCTGTTGTTCTGGTTGCTACCTCAGTGACTGCTATGCTCATATATGCTAGGCTTTCTGCTATGTTGTTTCATTTCACTGCATACTGGTATGTAGCTGAAAGAAAATAAAGCCTCTTGAACTTGAACTTGAACTTATACATCCAATCCATAACCAAAAAGGCAACGACCCTGCCGACCCCCTCATTCATCATTCCAGCTGGTGCCAGCGGGCGGGAGACTTAAGGTCCCACTAGCCAGAAAGAATGGGAACAAATGATTTTGATGTAAAAAATGTAGCAGTTCCACTGCTGTTGCAAATCATTGAACTTTTATATATAGAACCTTTTTTGCTAAGAATGCAGTATCTGAAAGCAGAAGGTTTGTTAAGCACTGAACTGCACTCTTCAAAATTGTTAATGGGACACTGAGATCAACAGTGATTAATTTCTTTCTTCCATGTAACTGACTTACATGAATAATAAAAGAGGTCTCACTGAAACCTGAAGGGGACACTGACACAATGTTTTTTGTTGCTCTGCTATTTGCTCTTTAATTTGCTTTACATCAAACTTTTATATAACCGTAACAGTTTCCTCTCTCCTCATCTTCTTTGCCTGGTTTTAAAAGTGCAGTAATTATATTACAGGTCTTTCACAATCACTCTGTATCAAGCATGTAGGCGGGGCTTGCCAGGGATGAGAAACATCAGCATTTAATGGTGCGGGTTTGCAGATGGCTCTCCTACGCACATGCACACAGTCCTTGGCTCCTTTAATCCTTTCAACTCTTGTCTAATTTTGTGTAATTTTTTTATATTCTGGCAAATTAAAATTACAGACTGTTTATTTGAGACATTAGGTCCAACAGCTTTATAGACTGGCTGAAACAAAAAAAAACCTCTATCTGAGACTGAGATTAATTTTGTGTTGGACATTTGTTAAATATTTGAATTTCTCCCTTTGATTTCTTACGAAATAAACATCTAAAATGATCAATCCTCCATGTTATCACTCCTGGAAAGTATCAAGACTGTGAAGAAATAACATATGAAGAGCTGATAAAAAAATTGCAACAGTGAAGAAACTAATAAGAAGTAAAGTGACTGTGTAGAAAAGATGAAATGTATTGCAACTTTGTAGAACTGATGAAAAACATTTTGACTGTGTAGAAGTGATGAAGTATTGTGAGTAAATATATAAAGAAAAGCACTGCAACTGTCTAGAACTGCTGAAACTATTGCGACTGTGTAAAACAAAGTATTACAGCTGTGTGGAACTGCTAAAGTATTACGACTGTAAAGAACTGATGAAAAGTATTGCGACTTTGAAGATAAAACTTCTTAAAGTGGTTAAAATTATTACTTTTTAAATTGTTCTGCTATGTTTTCAGGATAACCACATTTGCCACAGTAATGGTTACTGATGGTCTCGAGAGCCTCTTCGCGTGGCCTCGACCCCTGAGCTCATACAGCAAGGCAGCCCATGGCCGACAGCGCAATAGTTACATACCACCATTGTTGGACAAACCCATCTTCAAAATGGTAACTTCACAGGAGAAGGAAAAAACATTCTTCAATGTAATACATTTATTCCATGTTACTATGGATTATTTCTATCAGTTCATTCATCATGAAAACTGTAAAACACAATGTAAAGGACAGCTGGTTTAACAGTAACAATATGCATTTATAAATGGTACCATTTGCATTATTTACAATATATTATCACAACAGATTTTATGCCTTCAAACCTATGACAACCACCTGACCTAAACCCAGATGAGATGGTTTGGGATGAGTTGGACCGCAGCCAACAAGAGCTCAGCACTTCTGGGAACTCCTTCAAGACTGTTGCAAAACCATTCCAGGTGACTACCTTATAAAGCTGATTGAGAGAATGCCAAGAGTGTGCAAAGCTGTCATCAAAGCAAAAGGTGGCTACTTTTTAGCATCTAAAGTATAAAATATATTCTGGTTTGTTTAACACTTTTTTGTTTACTATATACTTCCATATGTGTTCCCTTCATATTTTTGATGTCTTCCATTATTATCTACAGTGTAGAAAATTTGAAAGAAAAAACATTGAATGAAAAGGTGTCTAAACTTTTGACCGGTACTGTATATAATATATGTATATATATATATATATATATATATATATATATATATATATATATATATATATATATATATATATATATATAGTACTGGTCAAAAGTACCCATATATATATATATATATATACAGACTGACACACACTACATTTACCAAGCCTACAAAAAAATATATGTTGATATTAATTGTAATCTCAATAGAAGAAAGTCTGTATTTGCTAACCCTACTATATTTATGATCAGTAAGTTATGCATTTGTTGGTATCAGGAAAGAAAACATATACTTAAAAAAAGCTCTAAAGTCTCTAAAACTAATTACAATATGAATCTCTTTTATATTATAAATCAGTATTTGTCTACCCTCTGCA